CGGGTGCTACGGCCGGGGACGCCCCGGGCACGTGACGGTTAGTCTCCCCTCTGGCTAGGTCAACGAAGGCCACCGCGTTTGTTGACCTAGCCGCGAACCCCCTCTCAGCAAGGCCCCCCGGACAGCCCGACGCGCACCACGTATGGCTACCTTGGGCCCGACTTCCTTCGTTCACCTAGACACCGGCGCGGCTGCGCCATCGCCCCCAACCCCATCCCGGTGTCCGGCCGACTATCCGCCGACCCTCTTGGTCCACACCGACATACGAAGGGACCAAGCACCCCGCTGGGCCAGGAGTGACAGGCACGAGGAGATCGGGGGGTATGATATTGCCCCCGATCCGCTTAAGGCAGGCCATGGCAGCTAGGGCCACCTCCTCAGCCGTCCGGGAATAGCCCATCGGAAACGCCTTTGAAAACTTCTCCTTCTGCTCTTCGGGAGAGCCAGCCAGGCGGCCTCACCGTCTTCGCCTCCTCGGAATCTGAGGCTCTCCGCCGGAGAGAGCGAGTTGTGATCTTTGGCGACAAGATCCCTGACATTGAACGACAAGGGCAGGATCGGGCAGCCCCCCTCCTGATGTTTCCCCGCCGTCTGCACCAGCCGGAGCAACGGGTCCCAAACGAATGGGGCCCGCGGCGGCGGCTTAGGGCTCCTCTCGACCGCGAGACTCCGACAGTCTCGCTATGACGTCGAGTCTGCTGTACCCACTCGGCCGGGAAGTCTGGTATGTCAACGGTGGGACCGTTGATACATTTAAACAAGTCGAAGGTCCCGACCACCTCAAGTTGATCTCCCTTCCACGTCACTGCCAGACCCCGCTGCGTGGCCACTGCCGACAAGGTCGCGCGAAGACCTTCCTTGGCCTCCCCAATGTCTGGCAGCGTCACGGACCCGCGTTTGCCAGCAAAGAAGTCGTCAACCGAGATATCGGCCAGGACTGGGTCTGGTAGATCCGGAAAGACACGACGCACTCTGTGAGTGCCAAAGGCACGAGTTATAGTGGTGGACAAGGCCATAGGGTTAATGAGGCTCGGGTCGGCAACCCAAGCCGCTCTGGCCTCCAGCAGGTCCCTGATGAGCGGGTCCTGCTCTGCCTCAAGTGCCTCGACACGCTTAGCAAACAGATCATCTTCCCATGATCCTTGCAGGTCTATGATGCCAGTCAGATTGTTGGTGCAAAGGGGAGTCAGTGGAAAGCGCCGAGTGCTAATACGCGTGGACTCTACCAGACGGTGCCGGACAGCCCACATGACAGTAGCAAACGGGTCATCGTCAAGCCTGGCCGCATCTCGGCCCTCCACTGTTCTAAGTTCGACGGCATTCCCCTTTCCACGGAGAATGAGGCCATGCTGCCTTTTGAGAAGAGATTTGAAAGAGAACATGGGAGTTCTTAAAAACTTATTCAATGTCCTCTCTCTGAGACTCAACCACGAACGGATAACAACAAAGCAGCCTCACGAGCAACAACTGTTCTGAACCGTAATTCGCGTAGATGTACGACGCTACCTCAAGTGCGTCCAGGATTTCTCTGGAACGTCCTTCTCCGACCCTTCTCCCACAGATCAGATGTCTTCGATATCGGAGGCCCCCAATTTTTAGATTGGGGCCTCCGACATCGGAGACATTCGGGGGATATCGGGGGGCATTCGTCCAATTGGTATACAATATGTTAGGAACGTTCTTAATATTTAATTAGTTTGAGCAACCTATTGTATTTCAATGCTGACTACCGTATATCATAGTTTATTTCACAACTTTAGAAGTTAGCAAATGCAGGTAACCTCTAAGTTTGGGGACACCATTGATTAAATATTGTAATTACAGCTCTACATGAAGCTAATTTACTATAAAGTACCATTAAACCTTAATAATATAAAAAAAAACTGTACCTACTGAAATTCACAAACTCAAAAAAAAAAAAAAGAAGCAAAATAAATATAACAGTAGCCCAACCAAGAACATACAGCTTCGATTGGTCAGTGTTAAAAAAATTGAAAAAAGTGCCACATTCCAAAACAAAGCACGCATCGTGGCGAGCCCAAGCTGTGCCATAACTGAAACTACTAGATAGCTAGTGAGCTGCTCACATGCACCACTCCATCATGCATGTGCACAATAGATGTGGGCTCTGAATTTCTGATTTGCATGTGGCATGGACTGGTTGCACCACTCTGAAGGCAGCTGTGGGCACGCGCATTATGTGCCAGAGCGCATCCTTCAGTATGTCCAGTAATGCTGAGGTGACGTTTGCCCAATAAGTTGAGTTTCTACATGGCTTCATCTGTTGAAAACTGCTCTGCCAGCATTTTGTGATGCTTTGTGTGTGTTCATCAAATTGAAGATTATATATTTATGTCAGAACCGCTGGAGCCTCCTGCTAAACAGGCGTGTTAGTTTTATGAAGGCAACAAGGGCGGCAGTGGCTCCCCGCCCCTGTCTACTCCCCCATCGGAAAGCAAAGAAAGTTCTGTTGAGAGCTGGGGTCTTAAGAGATCGGCAGAAGTTCCATACCATAATTCCTCGACAAGACAAGTTGCGAAGTCCTTCAAGATCATGAGGGTTTTGATTAGCTCCATGGCAGGAGCTGCAAGAACAGCAGTTTCCCTTGTTTAGTGAGCAAAAATTATCTCCAGCAGTCACACTGTAATCAATAAATTGTTCATATGCAGTAAGGTTCAAGGTTCAAGGTGTTTAATGGCACAACTTCCACACAGCCGAGTGCCTGAGGCAGCCAAAAGGCAGAAGCCCATACAACCAAGTGCTGGCTGCTTCCTCTCTTTCTCCCCAGCTGGAACAAGTTTCTGCACTCTTGGCATTCCTAACTAAGGAGACAATCAGGTCTTTATATGACTTTGATATGGAAACTTGTCATCAGTGTAACATGGCGTGCAAAACGATGACACTTGAAGAGGAGCAGCCAGACGCTGAATCCTTGTATCCCTCACCATGGTCGCTGAGCAGGTGGCACCATGGTTACAACTGATCCTCGGCCACAGCAGTAACGGTATGACCTAGGACGGTACCCTAGACTAAAGGGTGTTCTGCTGCGGTTCGGATCCAGCTGTGCGGGAAATTGGCACCTTAGAGATTTCTTTTTCTAGGACAGGGTTTATGCATGTTGAAGCATGGCATCAGAAGTTGAGTTGTATCAAGAGCGTTGAGAGTAAGTGCTCGGAGAGCTTGTCCAGTTAACTTCTTGTCCCAGCATCTCAGCATGACTGTAATCTGCTTCAACATTAAAAATAAGTCTGTAGGTAAGTAGCTAAACATTCGGATGGTTACTAATCTGCTGCACCTCTTCTTTTTGTGGAGTGCATGACGACACTCAGCTTAAAAAGAGCTACTAGAATATGAAGATGCCATCAGTACAACGAGAATATGGTGAATGTAGGCATAACGGAATGGAAGTCCTTGTTACACCTGGTCCACAGATCACGGAAAGTTCGTCGGAGTGCTTTTCACTCTGAATGGCATGCACACGAACTCGCAAACCGAAAGGCATTGTTAGGCTCCTTTTGAATTACCAATGGCTTGTCTGGTATTGGTGCTAGGACTTACCAGATCGACCTTGGAAAATATGGCAAGCTATTGTTGAGCAGTGTAATGAAGGTGCTGATGCAAAAGAACTGTGTTTTTCTGTTTTGTAGCAGCTGTATATGGCAGAACTACATCGTACAGCGCATGAATTATGTGCAAAATTAGCTTTTTTAAGTTGATGAGTATAATCAGTGCGTAGAACGCACACATTCATACATGGATATGTTAGCAAAAATAAAAACTAATGTCTCGTTGCAAGGACTCACACAAAAAGCGGAATTTGTTGAGAACCACATGTAAACTGGTAAAATCACTGCAGTACACTAACAACAACAAAAAAGCTATTTTTATGTTGGCACACCACGCTTCCTCCGCATTAAATTGTGCATACGACCGCTGCTGGAAATTCTGAGGAAAGCAGTCTGAGTAGCCACAGTCGGCAGCGACCCCAGACATGCTCAATGGGGTGCGAACCGGACCTGGATTGGCCTCGACATCATTGTCGTCGCACCCGTTTCGCACCCAGGCGGAGCCTGGGGCGCTCAGCACGTACTGGGCCGTGGCGGGCAGCTGGGCGAAGAGGCCAATAACAGCTGTACGTGTTGAAGTCTTGGAGAAAACACAGACGGCAAGCGTCGACGAGTGGCTTAACCCTTTACTGCACAACTTTTTATTTTTTCACAATTTTATTCCAGCAGAAGTAGAATACCACAGTTATCACAATACTATCACTAAAAGAAATTTCGAAGTTTCGGAAAAATTTATATCGAAAAAAGATAGGTATGTTGCATATTTGCAACAAGATGGAAATAACGAAATATTTATAGCCGAATGCTAAAAATTTGTGAACCAGAGCCAAACTTGTATTTACAGACATCAGTGAGAGATGTGGCCTCATTTGCTTGTGTGATACAAAAGAAAGCAGTTATTCTTGCTTGTTGAGCACAGGTGAGTGCCACACTTAGAGCAGTAGCTCATACAAATGCCCTTGCATCCAGGAAACTTGCAACGCTGTCGCTTCTGACTCCAAAGCACCCAGTGGCCAACCTGAGCATAGAAGTATGAACAGTGAGGTTTGTAACACAGATTAATTCGCCAGTGATAATACCTGATCAATCCTGACATCTTGAGGTGGACACGGTGCTGAAGGACCTCTTGTCTTCTTCAGCTGGATGCCTTGCTCCACGGACTCATTGCTGGGCCTTCCCCTTTTCTTCAGTTGATTTTTTCCTGCTTTGCAGAGTGACGTGGCGAGGTCCACCTTGAACTCTGCTAATGGCATGAGCTTTCGTGTTGGTTGATCGGAAGTAGTCTCGGCACTCCTCCTGTACAGCAGCCAGGCATTTACAGCCGTCAAGTCGAGAATATGAAGAAAAATACGAAAGTACCATTTCTTCGATCGGAGATGGGCGCGGTAGAGGGAGATCAGAGAGTCTAAGAGATCCACTCCTCCCATGTGCTTGTTATAAGCGCCTATCACCGACGGACACGGTATGTCGCGCCTCTCCTTTTCTTTTTGGCTCCACCTTGGCGCAGTTAGGACAGGCTCTGCCCCAACAAAGGTGGACAGCATGGTGACGGCTCTGTTGTCTTGCCACCTTGTACACGACAGCTGAATGCCATCCAGGGTCGCTACCTTCTCTTCAAAGCTTCCCCTTCCTTTCTGTTTCATTTCCTTGTCAGATGGCATGCTGATACCCGTTACTCGGTTGATCCAAACTGTACCAATGCAGTGCACGGTTTCTTTTTCCAGGTACACCTGAAGGGTTGGACAGTTGAAGTAGTTATCGAAATACACTTTGTGGTGGACTCCTCTTGGGATTAACCTGCACAATCGAACAACAATGTTCCCGCTTGCTCCACAGTCAGGCTCTCCTGCACGTCTTGGGGCAGAGTTTTCTTGTCCCGTGTACAGTTCTAGCTTGTACGAGAAGCCACTTACTCCTGAGAGAACAAATACTTTGTACCCCCATTTTTTTGGTTTCTGGGGACAGTACTGTTTCAGTGCACTTGCGCCTTTGAAAGGTATAATCTGTTCATCCACAGACAAGTGCTCTTCAAGCGGTATCAGCGACAACTGTTCATTTACAGCATCGACGAGCGGTCGTATCTTTGCAAGCCGGTCTCTATCAGGATCATCTCTTGGGCCGAGAGAGCTGTTGTCCACAAAGTGAAGGTTGTGCTTCAACTGTTCGAAGCGTGTCACCGTGAGGTGGTCAGCTACTTGGCTTACTCTGGTAGCTTCACTCCAGTACCACCTAGTGTTCTTCAGCTGAATTATAGACATCCACATGCAGGTGCCTAGAAAAACTTCAATCTCCTCGGCACTGGTGCAGAGGGGCTTACTGGCATCCTTCTGGACTGAGTACAAATTGCTCTCATTTGCAATAAGCGAAATAAGAGCGCCTGGAAAGATGAACTTGAAGTATTGGAAAGGTGTTTCCAACTCTGAAACTTCCTGCGGAAGCTCATTTTGTCCAGTGAACTTCACTGTTTCAGGATCCCGCATCAGGCTTGCATTCTTCCAGATAATTCTTCTCTTAGATTGAGTTGATGACTGATCAGCTGGTTGGCTTGCGGGAGCTTCCTCTTCGTCAGAGCTTGTACTCGCCTCGCTTGAACTGGCACTACATTTTGCAGGGGGTTGGACATCTGGGGTACAAAAAATAACAGCGTCTCGTACAACTCATACAATGAGCAGTAAAATAAATAATTTGGAGAGAAATTCTACATTGTATAGGGGACTATCTTCCCTGGCGGTTCTAAGTGTGCTCTTTGAAAGCGTGAAAACAACCCTACAACTTTGCAATTGTGTGTAGTTACACCTGACGAAGGATGGTCTCTTCCGAAAATCTCTGTCAATAAAGCCTACACTGCTTCTAATTTTATTCTCTACGTGAAAAAAAGTTGGATTTCCAGAAAAAAACATTAACTTACAATCAGAGTCATCGTCACTGCCGGAGAGCTCGCTGTCCTCACTGTCGGAAGGAATTCCACGGCTGTAAAACCGTTTGGGGTCCATTGTGTCTGCTCTACGAAGAAAAAACACCGTCGTGCACGTTGTTGCATCTGTGCAACATAGCTATTTTTTGCTTCCAAAGACAAACTTCGTCGATAATCTTAAGGTTTTTAGTATTTACATAATCAGCAGGACATTAAGTTGAGTCGCAAATTTTTTGTTTTGCATTACACTGTATAGAACGTGATATGCAGTAGTCAAGGCTTACCTGTGTCACTTGTTGAGCGTCCACGTGGTGGCTGTCACGCTTTTTAGAGAGCAGTTTCGCCGCCTGAGTACAGATGGCAGCACTGGACGGCTCGCCTCGCGGATGTATGTTGCAGAAATGCAACAACGTGCGGAACTAGCACTGAATGCATTTTGTAGATGTTTTTATTGTCGTTTATCGCTATGTTGCGAATATGCAACAAGGTGCAGTAAAGGGTTAAGGCTAGGTACTTCTAGCAGAGTGTGTTGGATAGACTGCAGCTCACGCAGGAAGAACTGTGTCTGTCCCTCGTCTATTTTCAGTGTTTTTATTCTCACTGTGTGAACTGTGGCCTAAGGCTGCAGCGTCACGTGGCGAGAGTAGCAAGGGGGCGTTGCCACTCGCAAGCTTGTGGATGTCTGTCAAAGGGCAGCGGGTAAAGATGTATTTAGGAAGTTGTTTGAGCTTGCCTGTCCATAGTCTCAATGCTCTCTTTAAAGCGGCGTAGGACTGACGGGATCATGCAAGCCTTCTTTTTCGGGCTCTTAGAAGGCCACCTCTCCTGAGACTCCACCTCACAAGCCTGAGCCTCGCGGCTCATCGCTTCGGGACAGGGGCCCGTTCGTCTGCAGCTCCGCAGGGTGCGCACTGGAACCCGATACCCGAGCAAGCTGCCTTTAATTTTCACCACTCCAGGCTTCTTGCGCATCTCGATGAACTCTGTTGACTTTGCGCTTGAGAGCGGCCTTTTCTTCGTTCACCTCACTACATCGCACAGTTCTTCAGATTCTGGAATTGTTGAATTAAGGTGCATTTGGTTATATGCACTTCGATCAACCAGTTACTTATAAAAAGAGGAATGCTAGGGGGGAGAATTTTCGGCATACCTGGCACGTTGACAGTCTGCGCGTGGTAGTAGCCCCCCTTGGTTGTTATGTTGCCGCTCCAGAAGACATTGTACAAAAAGTCTGGGTTGAAATCCCCGCACGTAACGGGGCGGAAGTCTTATATTTATTCTAGGGACAACCGCTGTCGTCACGGTCTATCTTATATCCCACCAACGCAAATAATTCGCACATCACTAATCCAAGCTCTATGTATAAATGGTACCAAAGCTTCCATGGAAGCTCATAAGGCGCGAATATGGCGGCTCATTGGGTGCAGCGCCATTTGTGAGGTGTGCGGCATTGCCGCTAGTCATGCTGGCCTGCGACGTACGGGAAGTGACGCCTTATTAAAAACAAACAGAAAATGACGCAATTTCCTCTTGACTGCAACATCACGATTGCTCTTCGCTAGTGACACAAAATTTAAATGCCTTTCGCCAGTGACACGAAATTGAAATGCTTTTTTTATGTGTTCTACATGCCTGCGCAACTACTGTCCTTCATAACTTGCTTCATACAAAGTAAAGTGAATGGTACTTAAGCAGGCACATAGAATACGGAAGAAAAACAATTAGACACGTTGGCATTGCTACTTGTAGTGCATTAGACATTGGAATCTATCACTTCCATATAATCTCTTTAGCAAAAGAACCACTTTTTTCATCAGTTCTGGGAACCACCAATAAGTTAATATATTTTTGAAATTATCCAGTGTGTTACAGCACGTCAATGAATGGATGCTTATTATTCAAAGTGTCGGAGGGTTAGGCGAGTGGCCAAGAGAAGGCGCCACCGCTTGGGAGACGGGGGGTGCCCGGAAAAAACAATAAACGCAAACTCGCCGGACAGTACTGACTCCCTGCCAACCGGTACATGGTGGCATTTTCGTAGTTCTTGCCTTCGTCCTCAGTCAGCTTCAAAGAACAAAGAACGTCCTCCCCTTCGCGGCCCATGGCGTAAACGTGTTTACTTGCGTTTCTTGAGAGCGGAGACGCAACTCGGTGATTATCCTGTAGCGTTGCCATCTCGTGAACCACGTCTTCCACGTGTGCGGCTGGTGAAAGTCGAACTTTTCCAGCAGTTGTGTTCAAATCGGGTTGAAGTAGCTGCTTCCCGCTTGAACCGCTGCTTTTTGATCCGTCATGTTGGACCGGCGTTGTTGCGCAGTTAAGCGTGTCCGCTGCTCCCACTGCTGCTTCGGTTGTGCGTGCCGTGCCCGCTACTGTTGCTCTTATCGCTGACAAACTAAACCACTGAGAGACCTACTTCGTCATGATGCAGTCTGGTACTGGGGAGAGGCTCAGCAGCAAGCCTTCCAGCAGACCAAGGCAGCTCTCATCACAAACTCGGCATTGGCAATGTACAACCAAAGAGACCACTTGACACTCTTGGTCGATGCCTCATCCTATGGATTGGGTGCTGCGCTCCTCCAGGAGTCCCAAGGCGAGCGATGACCAGTTATGCATCCAAGGCACTAACGGAAACTGAGCAACGCTATGCCCAGATTGAGAAGGAGGCACTAGCCATCATGTGGGCTAGTGGCCATTTCCGCACATACTTCCTAGGGCTCCAATTTCATATTGACACTGACCACAAGCCCCTTGTGCCACTTCTCACCACGAAGCGTCTAGATGAACTCAGACCTCTTCTGCAACGTTTCCGCATGCGACTACTGGAGTATGGCTTAACGATCTCCCACATCCCGGTAAAGAAGATCCACCCGGCAGATGTGCTGTAACGCAAGCCACTTACTGGAGCAGGAGAAAAGGAAGCTGCCGACCTGGAGGAAGCCGTTCTGGAGTATGAAGTTCTCACAGTGGATCTGTTACCTGCGTCAACAACACACTCTCACGGATCAAAGATGAGATCGGGAAGGATCCTGTCACGTCTGGAGTTCTGCTCTACGGGCTGGCCGAGCATGAGAGCTCTACCACCAGAACTGCGGCGATACTGCGAAATAGCAGGTGAACTCCAGGCTGCATTACTGTTTATTGGTCTGGGGGACAACTACAGCAAGTAATATTAAGCAATTATTTACATTGCAAAAACGCGCAGTTAGGTAAATTGATAATTTACCTTGGACTGAATCGACTTCCCCTAGCTTTATTAAACATGGAATATTAACGTCAGACAATCTTTTTTGCCTAAAGGTTGCAATTTTAGTTCATACTCAAATAAACACGAATCCCGCAATATTTTACGAAACATATTTATTTAAGCAAACAAATTACAATTTGAGACACCAGCAGTTTTCAAAACCTAAAATAAGAACTAATTACGGTACACAAAAAACATCCTACCAGATACCCGATCTTCTTAACAGAAATTATTGTGTATTCGAATTAGCCCAGACAATAGCGTCCGTGTTTCTTTTCAAAAAATACCTTACGGTATACTTCAATGTGCCTAGTGTGTATTCCTATTATAGTTCACATCAAAATAGATTGTACATTTTTGAGTGTCATATTTTTATCTTCTCAGATATTGTTTTATTTTTTATTTATGCTGTTTTTGATTCATTTCCTGTGCCCTGCTGCTGAGTGCTGTAACGGGGGTTGGGGACCTAGTCAGGTGATTCGTTTTCGCCTTTTGTCCCAACCTCCCTGACCTGACTGTCCCAACCTCTCTCGCCACGGTGCGAGCTTGAAACGGGCATCGTCCCATTAAGCCCATTTCCATGCTTTAAGCAGTAATATCGTCCAGTTATTTTAATGAATATTTGTCCCGGGTTTCAGCACCAATATTCTAAATATTCCACCGACAGTGTCTTATTCTCTGTATGTGGATGATGTGCAAATTTCAGTTTCTTCTTGCAACCTGTATAGTTGCGAACGTCAACTGCAACTGACAATCAACAGAATAAGCAAGTGGGCAGCCGAAAATGGGTTTCGTTTCCCCCCGACAAAACCCCGCAGGGGGCACCTGTGAAAGCAGGTGTTTGGAGAGTGGCGTCTCCACGGACCCCGAGCCATGCGGGTTCGCCCGCCCACGTCTGACTGTGCGTGGCTTACCCGTGTCTGGGGAAAAGGGCATCCTGGTGGTTGAGTTGAGCCCGGGGTAGGTTTGGACCCTTCGGGGCCCCCCGGGCGAGGCAATACACCACTTCGGCCCCCGCTTCTCATAGACGGGAGTCCTGGTAAGGCCCGGCCAGGATGATTCAGTCTAGTCGCCACTCCTTCTACTATCCCCTCCCTTCTTTCACCCTTGTCTCCTCCTTCTTTTCACTCTTCTCATTTCTCTTCTTTCCTTTTCAACTTCTTTGGCGGCAAGGGCTAACCTTGGGTGGTGACAGATACTCTCGTTCAGATCCACACTTGGTTATAGTTTCTGGGTAGCGCTAATAGAGTAATGCTTCCAGCAAAGCCATATTTGTTATGGGGTATTACCTATTCCCTCGTTGGGCTCCGTGGTGGGCGGCGCGCCACAGATTCCGAACACTCCTTGCCCTCTTATGGCGCCCCTCTCTTCCAAACCCCGTTCGGGGCAAGCCGTTAAAAGGCGCTGCCCTGAACACAAGACTATTGAAAAAGAACCAGAGGTAGAAAACTTCACGAAGTTTTTCGTTGTTCATTCCCTCGATGAACAGAAACCTGTGTCAAAGCTTTCACCATTTGTAGTAGCCAAAGTACTTGAACACCTTGTAGGGTTTTCCTACAAGGCTAAAAAACTCCACTCAGGAGACCTCCTAGTTGAGATAAATAACAAAAAGCAAAGTGAAGCGCTTCTCAAGCTGAACACCATACTTGATGTGAAAGTGTCGGTGAGCCCTCACCGCACACTGAACACCATCCGTGGAGTCCTCTCTGAGGACGACTTCCTTCACACTAGTGAGGAAGAACTCCTCGAGGGACTCCAAGGTGCCGGCGTTGTCGCAGTAAAACGGATTCTGTTCAAAAAAGATGGTGTAGAAATTCCCTCAAAACACGTCATCCTTACATTTGAGAGGCATACACTACCACAAACAATCAAGGCTGGATACCTGAACTGCCACATCCGCCCTTTTGTCCCCAACCCCCAGCGGTGTTTCCGTTGCCAGCGTTTTGGTCACGGAACACGCAGCTGTCGAGGGAAGGCGACTTGTGCAAAGTGTGGCAGTCAGGATCACATCTCTGACAATTGCGAGAATGTGGCCCACTGCGTTAATTGCGATGGACCACACCCTACCTACTATCGTGGCTGTCCCACATGGAAGCAAGAAAAGGAAATCATTGCCATTAAAGCCAAAGAAAATATCAGCTATAGCGAAGCAAAGAAAAGGTATTCCTTCATGTCG